ATCTAATCTGTGAGGATTGAATCACTTTCAGCGATGTCTAAACTACAAGACATATGACTTCATCGTCGAAATTCGCCAGCGTTGGAGGCAGCACTCTCTAGTAGCGAGCGGCAGGAATTAAGTTCAACACCTAATACATGAAATTTTTTTAAGTATATACAGGAAGTTCGCTGAATTGATCAGACCTATCAGGTAAACGAAACTAATACTTTTCTAACAATTTAATTAGCGTAAATTAATAATAAAATAATATATTCATTTATATGTAAGTCACAGAAAAACTTATTTTTGTCTCAGAATGCAATATTTTAGAGTATATTTTGAAGAAATCTCAATAAAATTTACACAATACATAATTATAAAATATAGCAGGTTATGAATAATCCAGATGTACAATTACCAATTTACGAAATATATAAACATCTCTCTGCCAGAGTTTTCAAAAATGCAATTGTAATTTGACAACAAAAATAGAGAAATGCGCTCGAACTCGCTAATTGAATGTACGCGACGAAAAGCAGAGACAATCCCGCGTGGGATGCTGCACCACAATATACTCCAATTTCATTCGTGTTTATGATATGCATTCTACACCGTTGACACTTGACGCCGCAACCGGACCTTAAATTTCAGAATCATATCTCGGGCGTGTTGCTCGTAGCTCCACTGACCGCAGAATCAAGAATTCAGGATAGTATGACACGGTGTGTTGCGATGCATCGCTGCATTCTTATTTATACGGGTCTTATCTATATTATATTATCATAAAGAAGAAAGAAGATTGACATTGACTGTATCAATCGATATGATACTTAATTCAAAAAAGATGTATGGAAAACAGTTACATAATAGTTAATAAATAAATAAAAAAAGAAATATTCATAATATTAAATACAAAAGTGTACATTTTTGTCATATTTAATAAGAGATTAACTAAAATTAATTACAATATTTATTATTTTCTCGTGAATGATATATTTTTTTTATATTACAAGACGGCTAAGCTTCTTCAATAACTACTGTATCTATAAAAGTATTTATCTTTTCGATTAACAATTGGCATTTTATATGAAAAGAAAATTTGTAATTTGACTACTTATTTTAGGCTTCTCTCAAAACTTAAGCAGATGGCACAAACGTATATTTATCTGTTATAATCAAAATATGATTATAGAAAATATAAGAATAATAATAGGAAATAAATTGACAATTAGTATAATGCAAGTTGTATAATGCTAAGAAATATTAACATATTCTTATTTATATCTAAGCTAAGAGATTTTAATGCTCAATGTATGAAATTTACATTAAATTAATATTCATAATATAATCGACATATCTTAATAATCGAAAAGTTCTATTTTATAGTTATAACAAAACTACTGTATTGTTTTAATCGATACACATTTATATTAAAATCATGTACATTAACAATAAAAATATTTAACGAAACGTTTATCACATTTATTAGAATATATCTCAAAATAATTCTAGAACCTCTTTAATAAGGAAAGAAAGGAACAATTAATTATGAAAATTGATATCAAGATAGAAATTCAGACGAATCAAATTTAAGCATACTTGGAATAGTTGGCACTCGTCTAACAATAAGAGGAAGTCTTAATACAAGATTGAAATATACTACGTAATTGAGATGAGAATTATGCTTTAAGAATTTGCTGTTCCAGTCTCGTTCAATACGCATTAATAATTTTATCGTCAAATAATTTCTACATTTTCATTGATAAAATCTACACATAAATATATGAAGAAAATATTTTTAATTTGACATCTTATATTATCAATGACATAAATTAACATTTCTAATAATTTCAACTGTCTTATTCAACATTCATCGTATCCTTATATAAAAGTAAAAGGATTTAACTTTTTTCCACGAAACGATAATCTCTTAGTAATTATATTTTAAATGATTATGTTACATGTCCAATTAGATGATCTTAAAATAAGAATGACGGCGCTTTTAAACGAATAAACATCATCCAACTGTTAAAGATTTAAATTATTAAATGTGATTAACAATCTGCAACGATGTCAAGTTATCTTAGGCCATCCAACGTAGAAGTATACATTCCTCGTTCTTGATGATTCAACGCCATATTTCTGGAATGCGATCAAAGCAAATAGGAGAGATATGAGATTATTTCTTTACCTGTTTAAATCTCTTGAGACTTTATACTGATATCTTTGCATTCTTTTGCACTTTCATTGCTGGAACGGTTATACCTTCGATATATTATCTTTTCATATAACATCGGCAAAAGTTTTCTGTATATCTGTCCTACATTTTGTAATAACATATGTTTATATTTTTGAAAAATAAGCTGCAAAAATATAAAATATTCAAAACATGATCAAAAATTATTAATGTAACAATATAAACTATAACATAACATAATCATCATTTGATGTAACATATTAAGAAATAAAGAATACACGATAATACATTTAAAATCCAAGAGTTATTCCTGTTACACACAAATAAAAATTTATGGAGTTACTCGGTGAAATGATCAACAAACAAGCTTATAGTTTCGAGAATTTATTATAAATCTCATAGGGGTTCCTATATACATCTTGGGTATGCTTCTAACGCTTCTACTAATCGAACAAGTATAAAAGTATGTTCTTCGATTATTCGTTTAGTTCTAAATAATTATATTGATTTAAGTTATACATTTTTGTATTGATAAGAAAATTAGTAATGCAATACATAAATCACTTTTTCCGCAATATATAAAGGTTGCAATGTATAATTTTATCAATTACAATAATAACTATCTCCGAAAATCTAAACGAATAAATCGACTAACATTGAAAAATCACTTTGGTCGAATTATCGTCTTTATTTTATCATCCTTAATCTTCATTTATGTTATATAATGGAAGTGATACTTCTAGAGTTTGATACATGTTATGTATATATACCAACAAAGATTTAATATAAAGGCAACGTAATATCATCCTCAATGGATGATATAAGAATGTATTAAATCTATAGCGTATAAAAGGTCTAAAATACAAGAACTTGACAAATAAAGCCGCATACGAAATGAGATTTTTCCAAAGATATAGATTTTTCTTCGTTATTTCTTATTTTGCTCTTAAGATACACTGCAGTAATAACATTCAGTTTCGTACCTACATTTTACATCTTTGATTTTTACAGTTTCAACAGATATTAAAATTTTCGGAAAATGAGTATTCTTATACCGAATAAAAGTTACATGAATAATTACTACGTTCTCTTCAAAAATATATAGAATATATATCCATATCACTTAAAAAATTATATACTGTCATGTATAATATGTAATTATTGAATATTTTTAATAAGTATATGTTATGGATCATTTATGGTAGTCAACAATATTTCATTACAGCAAAGTAGGTCATAAAAAGTTGTTATTATAAATGCAATAGTAACATTGTAACTTATCTGATAGTAACGCGATTTACTATACTAGAAAAAAGGTAAGTAATTAATTAAGTGTATTATAATTAATTTTCAAAAATTGACAACTCAATTTATGTAACACAACATATTTTTAACCTCCTTATCAAATTCAATGAATTATAAATTAGAAGTATAAATATTGTACTTCATTAATTAAACATGGAGATATGTCTTTCTATTACATAATATGAATATTACATTATATGAATAAGTGCGTATGTGAAATATAAATTTCATAACGATAATAGCTATGAGATAATATGCATAAAATAATATTCAAGAAATTATTTCCAAATAAACGTCCTATTAAATAATTAATATAATTTGCATTACAGAATTATTTTAATTTATAATCGGAGTAAAATCTACAAAGTGTGAGGGACTAACTGTTACTAAGAAAAAACGCCACAACTCTGACAATTATTGACATTTTTATTTGAAATTTTCAAGAAAAAATTGAAAAATGATTTTATTTCACTAAACAAAACTTATTGTTCGATGATACCACCTTTGGCATTGATGATGGCATTAAGTCTGCTGATGAAAGTGGGATTGTGGGATTAGCTGCCATTCTCGGTGAAGACATGTTTTGAGCGCGTCCAAACTTCGATGTTTTTTAGAGGTGTATTTTGCAGATCAAGGTGTCCTCTAAAAAACACTAAAGTTTGGACGCGCTCAAAACATGTCTTCGCCAAGAATAGCAGCTAATCCCGCAGTCTCTCTTTCGTGTAGCGTGCGAAGCGTTCATCAGCAGACTTAACGCCATCATCAAGGCCAAAGGTGGTATCATCGAATAATGAGTTTAGTTTAGTGAAATAAAATCATTTTTCAATTTTTTCCTGAAAATTTCAAATAAAAATATCAATATAATTGTCAGAATTATGGCGGTTTTTCTTATAGTAAGTTAGTCCCTCGCACCCTATATTATCATATAATCTAACCGATCTAACCGAAAAAATGATGTAAAGATAATTACAAATCATAAATCATAGGTTGTAAAATTGGGAGACATGTACTGAAATTAAACAACATATTGCATTTCTGTACATGCGGCTTAATTATTTTATATTATACCATGTTAAATGTTGATACATTTCATAGAATTAAGTCTTTATTTATAAAATAGTTATGTTAAAAGTGTTAATAATAATCATGATAAAATTGTACTCTCTCCCCCCCTCTCTCTCTCTCTCTCCCTCTCTCTCCGTTATAACGTAATTTATTCGTTCTCTTCTAAATGATCTTATTCCAAAATTGACATCGAAAAATTCTGCACTACAAGCAATCTATACGGTAGGAATAGCATTAAATTCTTCTAATTTAATTATCGAAAATATATATTATATCCTAATATCGAAAAAATATTTCCGAAAATTATAGAACAAATACATGTGCTCGAGAAAATTGTAAGAACAATAACAAAATCAGAATACAATTATTTTTAATTGATTAATTAGAAGAGAAACAATCTATTAAAAAATAAAATCAAACTTCTGATTGTATAATTTTTGGTATTTTTCTCGAAAATATACAATTTTTTCCCTTTTTTCTGTATAATAATACCTTGACTGTCATGATAGCTTACATGATGACACACCATTTCTTTGTACTCTCCATTGGTTCAGCCGTCATTTTATTGTCATCATTTTTTATCCCACTAATGTCTAACTTGGTAGATTCAAATTTATAAGGTGTAGCTTTTGGTGTGGATACCTGCATACTAGGTATACGTAAACCTTTCAATAGATTAATAGATGTATTGAAAATGCTACTTTCTTCATCCGTTTTCTGCTTTTTCGCCGAACTCCAATTTCCTGTTTCAATTCTGCGTTTTCTGTCTAATGGGCTACCATTCATAGAGAAACTATCGGATAGTAAACCAGCACCATAAGGTAAGATTTTAGATTCAATTCCTTCATCCTGTGGCATGGACATAGTAGAGGTATTGACGAAAAGAGAACTATTCGGTGATATCCTATTCTCACGCAAAGTAACATGTCGCATTCGACCGATGGAATGTCTTCCCGAGATGTTTCTCAGCGTCCTTCCAAATGACTGGTCTTTTAACAGTTGATTCGGTATACCTTCCGTATTGCTTACGTCGTAGAGCTTCAAATTATCTTTCAGACAATCATTGAGTCTAATTTTTACATCTTTTAACATTATAGATGAATCATAGGAAATAAATGATGGATCATTTATAGTGTCATCAATACTTTCTTTATCTTTCTGTATGTCGCTCTGAATAATGGATTCCGACGTTTCGGATAATTCTGATGTTGTAGATTCAACAACGTTGTCGACCGAACAACTTTCATTGTTGGTTGGAGCTTCACTTTGCATCTCTTCTTTCTCATTTATATCATTCTTCATTTCCTCTGGTGCTGGAAGTAATTCTTCTCCCTGTCCATCGTCCTTTGGTTGTTTATCGTCTAATATTTCTTTTCCATTGCTTAAAGAAATTGGTTCCGCTTCGTATATCAATTTAATATCATTTGCCTCTTGTTCCTCTTTGGTTTCAGTGTCAACATCTCCTAATAATACTTCTTTTTCTTGGGGAATAGTTTTATTCTCCACAACAAATACTTCCTGGATAGTTTTTGTAGTTTGAAGCTCGCTTGAAATATTTTCATAGGCATGATCAATATGTTCTTTGCTCATAGCAGATTTCTCAGTTTCGGCAGCTTTGTTGTTACCGTTTTCTTCTGTAACATTTTCTTTTTGAATTGAAACATTCAATTTGATCTTCCGATCCTGGCTGCATGTGTGTATTTTTTATTTCTGGATTTTTTAATAGTATTTTGTGTTGCTTTGTTTGATGTTCAATTTTTGTTGGAGGACGAAGTTTGCTCTATAACATACATTATTTCCACATTGCAAAGACCTAAGGCAATGAGAACCTAACAAATAATTTTAAGTCACAAACTTATAAGTATGAGTTATGCATTATGCATTTTCATCAATTTACAATTATTATATGAATTGCATATTTAATTATTATTTATATATTATGCACAGTATTTTTATAAAAATTTAATTATATTAAAAAAATATATATATAAGTCAAAATTTAACTTATTTAGCAAATAAAGATGAAATTGTTTCCATTTAATATTTTACTGTAAATAAATATTAGTAAATAAATTTAATGTATATAAAATATGTACATAAAATATTTTCATATTATATAAAATTATACTTATCAATTAATTTTATTATTTGTCTCTCGCTCATTTCTTTCTCCCTATAAATTATGAAACATAAAGAAATATAAACATAAGATTGTTATTAGATAACATAAAAAAATATTCTTTATAAAATATTTAATCAACAAAAGAATCTATAAACAGTAATAATTATATCAAATAATTAAACATATATATCAGACATATAAAATATTACTATAAATTCATACTGATAAGTCCATACCTAATCTATACCAAAAGATAACATTATTTTAATTATAAGTTTAATAAAGACTCTTAATAAATTCTGTTGTTTTTTGAGGTAAATACTTAGTAATGTCCAAACAGATAAAATATAATACTTTAACATAATACAATTCCAATAATTATGACTATAACATAATTTTTAAAAATAATTATATGATATCTATGTATTACAGTCAAAATAATCATATTATACATTTGTGTATTGTTTGAAAGTATAACAGTTTCAAAATCATAAATAAGGGAAAAAATTAAGAGAAATTTGAAGTATATACCTTAAAATTCTTCCCTGGCCCAGGTGGTATTCTTTTCTGTATTCCAGCCAGTTTTAGCCTAAAATAAAAATAAGATATTCACAATCAATGAAGAGATAAGCCATATTACAAATGGCCTTTGAGCAAGAAATGCTGGAGGTGATGAGAGGAACTAATTTAAAAGTATGTAAGTACTAATTTAAAAAAGGTAAACCAAAGTTTCTCATGTCTATCTAAGAATGAAAATATCTGTCTTTTCTCACATGCATCGTTAGACTGGTATTACATTTGTCTTACGACAAAGATTGTAAGTTTATTGATTGGTTATAGGATAGAGAGATCTGACACCTCTCCTTCTTGCAGCTAATCAATAAGGCTTGAAATGTTTTGTCATACGACAAATGTAATATCAGTCTTATAATGTTTTCTCTGTAAAATAAGCCTGAAACGTTCGTATCTTGTTCATCAATATATTTCGTTTTAAAATGTTTTAAAATAACTCTCTTAAATCTTTTAAGTTAACGTTCTAGATTATCAGCAAAATTCATTCTTTGCTTCAAAATTCTGTAAAGCTTATGCGATACAATTATAGAATATCATGAAGATATACTTAAGGATGACTATAATATCAATATAATCTCTCAGTTCTTTAACAAACATTACAGAATACAAAGCTCCGACACCCTATAAACAGCAGCAAGCAACTAACAAGTTCCAAGTGTTGCATCAAATACCAATACGCAAACAATTTACTACAATCAGCAACTCTACTCCAGGTAGACCTGGAGTGAGTTGATCAGGCAGACTTGGAAAAAAAAAGGAGATAAAACATACATCTCGCAACTGAGAAACTCTGGTGGAACTTGCAATTCGCTGTTGCTGATTGTTTCTACAAACCTGTTCGAATTCTCGTACTCGCGCTGTCTCTCAGGCAAGCTAGATTCAGAAGCTCTCGACGGCGCGGTCGTTGCCTTAAGCCTCCGAACGTACAAATTCCTCTCATCGCCCCCAGGGGCCGCCTTCTTTGGCGTCTTACCCATGGCCACGACAGCGATTTAGCGGCGTGCCTATTAGTCGCGCCCAATTAAACTCCACGCCCTTTTTTTTTTGTTTTATATGATCTTACTTGATCTTACTTGCGTGCAACAAGCCAGCGTGAGGTCCTCTACTTGGCGTACGAGAAGTTAATCTTG